AACATGGAAGTAAATTGGGCCAGAAAACTTTTTTTTGTAGTACTTGGAAATTCTAGCCTAGGCCACACTTGGACGAAATTAGTGTTAGGGGAGTTCTACAGAGATTTGGTAATGAATGGGAGATCTAATTATAAATTTGATCACATGAGTTGATAGCCAAGACGTTAATGAGCCAGTACGACTTTACAGAATAGAATTCGGGCGAATAGAACTCTCGAAAATGATCTTGGCGTGAATGGGTAGTTTGTGAACGTCAAGGGTAGAAGGTGTGTTGTGAAATGGGAGTTTGGAACTCAATTTGCGAGATTCTATCTCCGTGTAAGCCGCCGGGGTGGGATTATTCCCGTCGGGGGAGGGGGGCGCTGTTGCGGGTTGGGGTCTGCCGTAGTGGGCCAGTCGCAACTTAAGTCGGAAAGACCCCAATTTCATTATTTTTCTACAATCCTTGTTCTTAAGAGCTAGGAGACGACCTAGGGTGGTTTCTTGACAGTTTCCCATGATTTTTAGTGCAAAAGGTAGGGATTTTACTCCTCTAATCCATTTTTTGATCCGTAGAACTTAGATTCTTGGGTAATAATCATTGGGGGAGGGTTTTGGCTTGAATTTAATGGTGGGAAAAGCCCTAGCTGCACATTAGGATCATGGGTTTGGTCTTGGGTTATTGATTTTGTTATAATCTAGATAAATTAGACCTTAATTATTGATCCTTAAGTTAAATTACTTGTTATAGACCAAGAACAAGCGGAAAGAATTCGGGAAGGGAAGGCTCAAGTGTCTTAGGAGGATTCAAGCTTGGTTTCGAGGTAGGTGATGGTTTGATTTCTTGTTGTGTGATATATGCGGTTGATTGCTACATTGTATTGCATACGTGTATGTGAATAGGGAAATGTGAACCAATCTAATGAAATGATGATGTGTGAACAATACATACCATGAACCTGTTACTTGATTATATGATTTGAGTATTGTTCATTATGGATGTGATTGTGATTGTGGTTGTGCTGATTGGATCGGGTGTCACGTTCTGACATTTGCATTGGATTGGGTGTCACGTTCCGACACATATATTGGATCGAGTGTGATGTTCCAACACATACATTGGATCGGGTGTCACATTCCACACACTAACAGTTTGTGTATGGGTTCCATGAGAAGACCATTTGTGATAATTGTGTTACAAGTAATTGCCATTGAAGTTGGGAAATTGTATGTTGCTGTAAAATGATGGCTGAACTGTATTATGTATATGTATGCTTATTGTGTTGTAATTGCTTGTGTGTATTGTGCTTATGGGAGTGGCCGCATGATCCTACTAGTACACAATGGTTGTGTACTGGTACTGCACTTGCTTCTTTTTTGTTGAGTACATGACATCTTCAGGCGGCTACTGACAGACCTCAATTAGGAGATCACTGATCGAGACCGGATTCAAGGGTGAGCCAGTTCTTTCAGGCTGCCACAAATCCATCCTTATTTTAGTCCACTTTTTTCCGACTCAGACTATTTGTGCTTTCAAACATTTGCTTATGTTTAGTTTCAGGGTTGTAGCCCGTTTTCTTGGACTTATCGTTTAGTAGAGTTTTGGAACATTGAATTTCAGATTCTAGGGGTTGAATTTCCACAATAGCTATGTTAGTTGGTTATTTAAACTTCAGAGTTTATGGGAACTCTATATTTCTTTAGACATTTAAACCTGCCTCTGTGTCTTTAAATGTTCTAGTTGTCGTTAAGTTGCTTAGTTGGGTTGTAGTAATGATTCTCCCAGCGGAGGGTTAGTGTTGGTGCCAATCACGATGGTCTGGGTCGTGACAAAGTTGGTATCAGGACCCTAGATTTGTTGATCTCATTGTACCAAAATGAGTCTAGTAGAGTCTTGTGGAACGGTACAAACACATCTGTACTTTTCTTCGAGAGACTATAGGACTTTAGGGAATCTTTGTGTCTTTTCTTGTCTCCTTTCGTGTTATGACTTGATTCCAATTGGTATATGGTGATCCAAATTGGTATCTAATCTCCTTCACTCTTCTGTCCGTAGATGGTTAAAACTAGATTCAATGGTGTCAGGCACCCACTAATGAGCCAGCAGAGGAGTCCGCAACCAGAGGTCATGGTCGAGGGAGGGGTAGGGGAAGAGCAAGGGGCAGGGGCAGGGGCAGGGGCAGAGGAAAAGTGACACCCTGATGAGTACGAGATTTGGACTCATTTAAGGCTTTGTTTATATAGAATTAGTGTCCTCAAATGCTTAATTTGTGCCAATAACTGATGTAAAACCCTTGATTTTTAGGTACATGGGTTGAGGAACAAAGCTAGGACATTAGTAGGCAAGAAGGACAACACAAGATGAAAAAGAGAGAAGAAAAATAAACCTGATGATCGCCGTGAGAACCCGACGGATCACCGAAAATAGTTCCTGGATTGCCTTAGTTTATACACCGTTGAACCTAAAATAAGAGGAATTTCGGTGAACTACATCTCCTATCGACGAATCATCGACTGCTTCGGTGAAGGGCAACCATGTCGCCAAACAGTACTGATGAAGACCTATGTGATTGCTGATTGACGAGCTAAGATCACGAAATGGAATGGCGATCCAGATCTGGATCGCCTAAATTTACAGTGGCTGGATGAGGAAAATGTGAAGGAAGAAGGCGAGATGAGAGGGCGATAGGCGAGTCACCTAACGGGTCGGTGAAGCCCGACTTTCCTCGCTGAATGACCCAAAAAGCCACACCTCAAATTAGTATAAATTGATTTTTGGAAGAGAGAGAAAGCATTCAGGTATTGAATTTCGTCTTTTTATGATGATTGGCTAAAACCCCAATCTTGGGGGTTTGACAATGTGACCAATTGCTTTGGTTAAGTTAATGGGTTCTAGTAATTATTGACTTTCAGTGTTAATTTGAAGTGGGTCTGAGTTATTACTGTGGTTTATCTTCTATATTGTATGTTTATTGCGATATATTTTAGGGATTTACACTTGCTTGAGAAAGAAGTGTAGAACTAAGGTAGTAACTTGGCATCCTTAGCTAGTGGGTCTTGACAGTTTCAGCTTGAGAAAGTGAAACCCAAGCTCCATCCTTTGTATCTAGCTCGAGAGGGTAGATTTGATGAGATCATGAGCTGGTCTTCTTATATGATGCATTGAGGTTCGAGAGAACTCAGTGAAAACAAGGTATTTGTTCGAGAGAAAAGTGCCTTACTTAAAGTTCATACTACCCACAACAAATTAGCATAGTTGGTTAAGGATTTTCACCTATTGAGTTAACTTTGGCAATTGGTTAGTCATTCCCCTAAGTATTACCTTCTTATTTGATTGTCTCCTATTGATTGTTGAAGTGTTTGGTAGTCCGTCAATTTCTCACTTGGATTAGTGGTGACGTTTTCGAGTATTGGTTCACAGATTTCAAGGCATTTTGTGTGTTCAGCTGAAAAGGTCACCATCATAATTTCATAATCGAATTCAAAAGAAAGCTACTCTCTGTGGGATCGACCCCAACTCATTTAGTTGAGTGTTATACTGACTAGCGATCATTGACATTTAGAATTGGATGAAGTGTTTTTGAAACGTTAATCAAAATGGCGCCGTTGCTGAGGAATACCGTTGTTTAGAGTTCTTTTATCGAGGTTTGACTTGTGAATATGTCGGCTGTAGTTGAATCGATTTAGGTTGCATTGTACTCGTGTTGAGTGGGCTGAATAGAAATAAGAATGAGTGAGGCAGAGGTGGATAATAGCCAAGTAGGTTACTGAGACAGTATCAATGATATTAATAGTGTGTACAACCCATCTCAACCAAGTGAAATGGGTGCAATTTGCCTACCATCAACGGATGGGAATGCAATATTTGAGGTCACGAGCACAACTCTTCATCTCTTCCAAATGAAGGGACTTTATAGAGGGCTGGCTCATGAAGATCCACATGAGCATGTAAGGAATTTTATAGATGTTTGCAACCCGTTTTCATTCAGGAATGTGTCACAAGAGTCAATCCGGCTCAGGTTATTTCCACTATCTTTGACGGGGGAGGCTAGCAAGTGGTTGGCAGATTACCAAGGAATTCCATCATATCGTGGGATGAGATGATCACGACATTCAACGCGAGATTCTTCCCTCCATCGAGGATGATAAAACTCAGAGATAACATTCAAGATTTTAAGTGATTGGAGGGTGAACCCATCCATGAAATGTGGTTGAGGTTTAAGAAACTCCTTCTTCAATGCCCAACTCATGGGTTACCAAACGATTTGCTACTCCAATATTTCTACCAGAGTCTTGATTCGGTAAATAAAGGAGTAGCTGATGATTTGGTTCGGGGAGGGATAATGTTGCAATCATTTGAAGTGGCTTCATTTTTTCTTGATGACATGACTAAAATAAATCAAGCATGGTACATTTGAGAAGATCAAGTTTTACCTTTTTGTTTTAGAATGACTCAAGAGAAACTTGATAAGGAAAGAGAAAGGGATGAGAACATTAAGAAGATGTTGGCCCAAATGGAGCTACTACAAGAGTAGGTGATAGAAAACATGAAGAAGAAAAAGGGGGCAAATGGAGTGTTTAGAGTTGAGGAGGGTTCTTCCTCGGGTTATTCAAAGCCAGGGGTGAATCAAGGTTTGAATTCCAAGAGATATGAGGAGGGTTTTCAACCACGCTATTTATAGTGATGTGGGAATCAAGGTTGGAACTTTCACAAAGATGAAGAGCAAAGAAGATATTGTCAAGAATGGGTTGAGCAAAGTGACTATTGGAGAAGAGAGGATGATCATGAAGAAGACCACACTCAATCGAGTGAGAGCCCAAAGTCGAAAAGGAGTGCAAGTAGTCCCCGGGTGAATGACTTGTTGTCACGCATCCTTGACAAAGTTGAAGGTTTGGATGATTTGTTAAAAGGAATGAAGGCCGATTTTTCATCATTGAATAATAGAGTGAACTCTAACGCGGATGCAATCAAGCTACTTGAAGGTTAGTTGAGTTTCCTTTCAGCACAATTGGAGCCAAATATGACGAGGGAAAATGGTGATAGAGGGCTAGCTATGGTTACACGTAGTGGAAAGGTGGCGGTAGGTGATGTGAAAGGGCATGATGAAGCACAAACTCGCGAAGTAGACAAGGGCATTGAGGAAGATGAAACACCCATCCAACAAAGTGTTGCCAAGGAGTTACAAACAAACGTACCAAAAAGCCCTCCAATGTCAAAAGTGGCGCAACCTCTTCCCAAAGTTACCCCTCTATTTCCCCAACATCTTAAGAAGAAGAACAAAGATGAAAAGTTCAAGAAATTCTTGTCGGTGTTTAAGACACTATCGATTAATCTCTCTCTAGTGGAAGCATTGTTGGAGATGCCGGGTTATGCCAAGTTTATGAAGGAGTTAGTCACCAAGAAAAGAAGCTTGGACTTTGAAAAAATTGAAGTCTCTCATAGTCGTAGTGCAATTATGACTAATGAGACGATAAAAAAGAAGGAAGATCTCGGAGCTTTCACTATCGATATGGTCAAATTCGCCAAGGCTCTATGTGATTTGGGAGCAAGTATAAACGTAATGTCATACGCAATCTATAAGCAACTTGGATTGGGTGAACCAAAGTCAACAACAATGAGGCTTTTGATGTCAGATCGATCTATCAAGCACCCCGTGGGAATACTCTATTATATCTTGGTAAAGGTTTGCCGATTCATTTTTTCGGCTGATTTCATCATCCTTGATTGTGAGATTGATGCGGAAATTCCCATTATTCTAGGAAGGCCTTTCCTAGCGACCGGAAGAGTGTTAGTGGATGTTAAAAGTGCAGAGTTGAAATTCTGGGTGAATGAAGATGAAGTAACCTTTAATGTTTGTAAGTCAATGAAGCACCCAAGCGATATTCACGTTGTCTCTACTATTGAGGTTTAGTGATGAGGTTACTTTGATGTGCATGAATTAACCACTTGAGGTCGTGCTTGCTAACTATGATGAGTTTGAAGTTCAAGGTTACGAATAAGTAGTAGGTGCTCTTTCGGGCATGGGGGAATATTCAAAGACTCCATTGAAGCTGGACATTGATTAAAAAATAGAGAAAGTCCTCCAACAAAGCCATCAACGGAGGAACCACTGAAGCTTGAGTTGAAAGAGCTTTTGTCCCATCTCCGATATGCATTCCTGGGGGAAAATAACAACTTGTCCATAATTATTGTTGCCAACTTGTTTGAATGGAAGGTGAAGTTGCTCCTGGAAGTATTGAAAAAATACATCAAAGCCATTGGAAGGACGATCGCTGACATTGTAGGCATTCCACCCGGCATTTGCACTGACAAGATCCATCTTGATATCGAACGTAAGCCAAGTGTTGAACACCACAGGATATTGAACCCACCAATGCAAGAAGTGGTGAAAAAAAAGATTATAAAGTGGTTAGATGCGGGAGTGATTTACCCTATTGCGGATAGTAAGTGGGTCATTCCGGTCCAATGTTTACCTAAAAAGGGAGGCATCACAGTAGTTCCAAATGAAAAGGGGGAGATTGTTTCTATGAGACCGGTGACCAAATGGCGAGTATGCGTGGACTACCGAAAGTTGAACTCGTGGACCGAAAAAGATCACTTTCCCATGCCCTTTATAGATCAAATGCTTGATCGACTTTGAGAAAGAGGATGGTATTGCTTCTTGGATGGGTACTCAGGTTATAATCAAATCTCCATTGCTTTGGAAGATCAAGAGAAAACTACCTTCACCTCACCATATGGAACTTTTGCCTTCAAATGGATGTCATTCGGATTATGTAATGCTCCAATAACATTTCAACATTGCATGCTATCTATTTTCACTGACATGGTGGAAGATTCAATGGAAGTTTTCATGGATGACTTCTCCGTTGTGGGTGACACTTTTGAAGCATGTTTAGCACACTTGGGACAAGTTCTTCAAAGATGCGTGGAGACAAATTTGGTCCCAAATTGGGAAAAATGCCACTTCATGGTTAGGGAAGACATAGTTGTTGGTCACAAAGTGTCACAAAAAGGGTTGGAGGTTGATAAAACAAAGATTGAAGTGATTGAGAAGCTACCACCACCGATTTCGGTGAAGGGTATTCGTAGTTTCTTGGGGCATGCCGGCTTTTACCGGAGATTCATCAAAGAATTATAAAAAATTGCACACCCTCTATGCAAACTTTTGGAGAAGGAGGTGAAGTTCAACTTTGATGATGCGTGCATGGTGGCTTTCAAGTGTTTGGAAGAAAAAATGATATCCACCCTGGTTATCATTAGTCCCGATTGGGTAGAACCCTTCGAAGTGATGTGTGATGCAAGTGGAACGGCATTAGGTGTCGTGTTGGGGCAAAAATGCAACAAACTATCACCCCATTTACTATGCAAGCAAGACTCTAACTACACGGTTATAGAACAAGAATTACTTCCGGTAGTATATGCGTTTGAGAAATTTCGGGCATACTTGCTAGGAACTATAGTGATTGTTCACACTGATCAAGCTGCCCTATGTTATTTGATGGCAACGAAGGATGCCAAGACAAGATTGATAAGGAGGGTGCTATTGTTGCAAGAATTTAACTTTGAAGTCAAAGATAGAAGATGTTGTGAAAATCAGGTGGCTGACCATTTATCAAGATTGGAAGGCAAGGAAGATGACGAGCTGGAGGTAGACATAAATGATTCCTTTCCCGATGAACAGGTATTCACGGTAACTCTCCAACAAACTCCGTGGTATGCTGATTTTGCTAATTATTTGGTATGTGGGATAATGCCGAATGAACTGAACTTCTATCAACAAAAGAGGTTCTTGTTCGATGTCAAGAAATATTTTTGGGATGAGCCATACTTATTTAGAGAGTAGACCATATCATTAGGAGATGTGTTCCGGAGGAAGAAACCAAAGAAATTCTCCATGCTTGTCATGCTTCACCGTTTGAGGGTCATCATGGTGGGGCACGTACAACTGCTAAAGTTCTTCAAAGTGGTTACTACTAGTCATCACTGTACAAAGATGCTTACGAGTTTGTTATGAAGTGCACTCAATGTCAGAAACAAGGTGGAGTGTCTAAAAGACATTAGTTGCCTCTCACACCTATTTTAGAGATTGAGCTATTTGACGTTTGGGGAATAGATTTCATGGGTCCATTTGTGAGTTCGTTTGGTAATAAGTACATTTTGGTGGCAGTAAATTATGTTACTAAATGGGTGGAGGCAGTCGCACTACCAAACAATGAAGGGAGAAGTGTTGTTCAATTCCTAAACCGCTACATTTTTGCCAGATTTGGTACTCCTCGGGCTATTATTAGTGATGGGGGATCCCATTTTTGCAACAACCTTTTTGCATCCGGATTGAGCAAATATAGAGTGAAACACAAAGTAGCAACTCCGTATCATCCCCAAATGAGTGGCCAAATCAAAGTGTCGAATCGGGAGATCAAAAGTATCTTGGCCAAAACAGTGAATGTGAATAGGAATGATTGGTCTCAAAATCTTGATGATGCTCTATGGGCGTATCGCACTGCCTACAAAACACTAATAGGTATGTCCCCATGCCAGCTATTCTTTGGAAAATCTTGCCATTTACTGGTTGAATTGGAACACAAAGAACTATAGGCATTGAAAGCTTTAAATATGGACTGGGCAAAGACTTCAAAAGGGAGAGTAGATCAGCAAAATGATTTGGATGAATTCAGGGTCAAAGCTTATGAAAGTTCAGTTATCTACAAAGAAAAGATGAAGAAATGGCATGATTTTCAAATCCTTAAGAGGGAGTTTCGAGTTGGAGATTGGGTGTTACTATATAACTCTAGACTACGACTCTTTTTGGGAAATCTCAAATTGAAATGGTCAGGTCCATTTAGAGTAACTCGGGTGTTCACAAATGGTGCCATTGAAGTAGAAAGTAAAGAATGCCCTGCCTTCAAGGTGAATGGGCAACACTTGAAGTTGTATTTTGGAGAATGCCATGAAATTTCTGTGATTGAAGTGGTGTATTTGGAAGATGCTTGAGAGCATTTCCACATCGTGCCATGACGTTAAATAAGGTGCTTCTTGGGAGGCAACCCAAGTTTTAGTTTTTCAAATAATGCGTGTTGTATGTGCAGGTGTGGGCAACTTTGTGAGGTGAAGGTTCCATCGGCAAATTGCCAAATCCGTTAGGCAATCTCGATGTTGATCGCTTTCGTGGCATCAAATGTTGGCCTCACATACTGGAACATTAGGTAAGACATATCCGTCACTTGGCGACACGCTGAATTAATTGGGCGACCTGACTTTCACCGCCTTTCTGCATTAGTCCTGATAGCTCTGCATCTTCGAGCAGTCGGTGAAGTTCCACCCATTAGGCGATGCACCGAAGCCATTCGGTGTACTCGCTCTAATCCACCCTTTTGTTCATAATAGACTGGTTGCAGCCTGGAAATTTCGATGAGCCCCTGAATGTTCGGCGAATCGCCAAACCGTTCGGCAATTTCGACAAACCATCACTGAATGGGCATCTAGTGAAGATTTCCTATCACCCTACTCTATTAATTTTAGTGCCAATAGTTTACTTTTGCAGTTGTTATTTGCTCTCTATTCACATTGAGGACAATATTGGATGCTTTTGGTGGGTGGGGGTGGTAGGTGTTTGGTCATTAAAACCTTTGTTCGTTCAAAAAGTTATTTGAGTTTTCGGTGATGATCTATACTGATGACTTGAATAGTGCTCTTAATTGAACAAATATTAATGCACGACTACAATGAGGCCAAATGAAGTTGCATAGACAATATGTGGACTTTTTACATCTCGTTGTGACTAGCCAATTAATCGAATGAGTCTCTTGTGATGAATACTGCACACTAGCAAAAGTGTGGAGTCTTGTTTGATATTGGTGCCAATGCCTTGTGTGATGAGCTTACCGTGAACCTAATTGTGTGATGACACCTAGAATTTGCCCCATTGGTCCGGTTGACTAGGTGATGCAAGCTCTTGAAATGATCTTAGGCAAAATTTTTGAAGAGTGAAACAATTTGACAATATACCTCTTTTGTCGCCAACCTTGTGAGGTGTGTGAACTTTGCTTGAACCCCTTTGAGCCTTATCCTTTTCTTGGAAATAACTTGATGTAATTGTAACCCTTCTTCATCCATTCACCCATAATCCTCATGAAGTGTGGTTTGTTTGAATAGCCAACTTAGGCCAAAAACATAAGTTGGGGGTGTGGTGAAAAGAGGAAGAGAATCAAGAAGTGTGAAAAAGTCCCCATGATCCATGATTTTGAAAAAGATGGAACCCCTCCGTACAAAAAAAAGAGAAAGAGAAAGAGAAAGAAAAGAAGAATGAAAAAGTTGTGAAAGTTGCAAAAGAAATATGGTGTCCGGTATTCCATTGGAAGTGAATAATGGGGAGAGTTTTGAGCATGATTGAAAATGCTGAAGAAAAGGAAGGAAAAATGATGTTCATACCACATTTCATGAGGATAGAAGACACTGAGCATAAATGACCATACCTGCACACTCAACCTCGTTACAAGTGTTGAAAAGACCTTTTTGATCTTGAGTGAGCTGAAACAAATGTTGATTGGAAAAAAAAGGGCAAACCTATGGGTGAAGTCATGCATGTGTTCATCTTTGTGAATGTGAGAGTTGTATGTGATTCCGGTTGTAGAAGAATTGTGTGTGAATATGGAATCATCTTTATTATGAGGGCATTTGAGTACCTTTGTTGAGCTTGAACTTGCATTTGAAGCAAGTATTGTGAACCTAAGAATCTTTGATAATGGTGAGTCACAAATTGAATCTTTGAGTACACAAGTGATGCTTGCATGAGTAAGTTGAGTCTAGTTGTGTGCATTCATGACTGAGTCTTTTGTAGCACTGTCTGAGACATCCTTTTTGAACTGCTGAACTTGAGTTTTACTTGAGGACAAGCAAAAGTTTAAGTAGGGGGTGTTGATGAGTCCGAGATTTGGACTCATTTAAGGTTTTGTTTATATAGAATTAGTGTCCTCAAATGCTTAATTTGTGCCAATAACTGATGTAAAATGCTTGATTTTCAGGTACATGGGTTGAGGAACAAAGCTAGGACATTAGTAGGCAAGAAGGACAACACAAGCTAAAAAAGAGAATATAAAAATAAACCTGATGATCGCCGAGAGAACTTAGCGGATCTCCGAAAAAAGTTCTTGGATCACCTTACTTTACAGATTACTAAGCATAAAATATGAGGAATTTCGATGAACTGCATTTACTATCGGTGAAGGGAAACCATGTCGCCAAACAGTACTGATGGAGACCCAGGTGAATGCTGATTAGCGAGCTAAGAGACTAAAAGGCGCATCGAGGAATGGAACGACGATCCCCATCTGGATCGCCTAAATTTTACAGTGGCTGGATAAGGAAAATGTGAAGAAAGAAGGTGAGATGAGAGGGCGATAGGCGAGTCGCCGAATGGGTCGACGAAGCCCGACTTTGCTCGCCGAATGACCCAAAAAGCGACACCTTAGATTAGTATAAATTGATTTTTGGAAGAGAGAGAAATCATTCAGAAATTGTGAGGCATGAATGAAAGAGAGAAGAACACCGTTGTTGATTTTGAGACATTTTTACACTATTTTCAATTGGGTATTGTAATAGCAAGGAGATTCTTGATAGTAAACTTTTGATTTGCAAATACCCAGCTACGGAGTTTGTAGCAGATATTGAATTTCTTCTTTTTATGATGATTGGCTAAAACCCCAATCTTGGGGGTTTGACAATGTGACCAATTGCTTTGTTTAAGTTAATAGGTGCTAGTAATTATTAACTTTCGGTGTTTATTTGAAGTGGGTCTGAGTTATTACTTATGTTTATCTTCTATATTGTATGTTTATTGCGATATATTTCAGGGATTTACACTTGCTTGAGAAAGAAGTGTAGAACTAAGGTAGTAACTTGGCATCCTTAGCTAGTGGGTCTTGATGGTTTCAACTTGAGAAAGTGAAGCCCAATCTCCATCCTTTGTATCTAGCTCGAGAGGGTAGATTTGATGTGATCATGAGCTGGTCTTCTTATATGATGCATTGAGGTTCGAGAGAACTCTGTGAAAACAAGGTATTTTTTTGAGAGAAAAGTGCCTTACTTAAAGTTCATACTACCTACAACAAATTAGCATGGTTGGTTAAGGATTTACACCTA